CTATGATAAATCCATAGAACTTATATGCTATACTCAGTACCTAAACGGTCTTTGGTAAATCGTACGTACTTTTACAGAAATTTTTGTGATCAGCAATGTACTTATTCTGGTTTTCTATTTCATTCATAGTTCGCATGCCAAATTTAACTATACGAAACTGGTCCGCAAATGTATAGACATTCTATTAAATTACAATGTGAATTATTATAAGTCTCCTTTGTGGTACTTGCCAAAAACTCGACTACCGGGATTTAAATTTAAAAAAATGTGATTTAGGTAACCTATGGCTATTGATCTATTATAAAATAGAAACTGAACCTACCAATAATATCACTTTATAAAATAATTAAATGTGATAATTTGAAGACAATTTCTTAAAACCTCTAAAATATTTTTTGAATTTAGTGTTATAAATTTAAGCATTTGCGCTCAAGCAAATTTTTCAATTTTTTTTTTCCGGTAACCTATGTGTTGCGACCAGTTAAGATGTATATCTATTATGCAAAAATTAACTGCCGGAAATTATTAGTTTTTATGGTAAAGTTTTACGAAGTTCACGATTTTCGGTGTTTTAAGTGCTTGTAAAAATTTGGTTTTTTTAAAAAGAAAATCATCATCATTATTTATTTTTGTATAGGTACCTAAAATATAAAAAATATTATATTATACATAGACTTCAGGGCCCCGCATACATTGAATGTGTCCGGGGTCAAGAATCCTAATTGCGGCACTGGTAGGTACCATATATTAACTGTTAAGTAGATATTACATGTATTTTTACTGTTATTAATTATTATTATATTTTGTATTATTCGAAAGTAGAAAGTTATTAGTTATGAAAAATCGATTTTCTTTTATAAATAGTATGTTTATTATTATTTATACTTGTTTCTTAATAATTAATAAAAGAACTCTTTTATAGTGAAAATTGATCATCATATTACTTGACCAAGGAGAAACAAAGTACATTTATAAGTATCTTTTAATAATTATATAGTATATATATAATCGCACTCTATTGCGTGTTTAAATGTCACGTTTCTTATATAATATAATAGGTACTGTTTCATCTGGTATCCACTGTATGTACCTATCTTGTTTGATCGACGTGTGATATGTGTCGCCGGTGTAACGACTCAAGCAATAATAATAGTAATTATTATTTTTACTATGTACAATCTTCTAAAACCTAACCTCGTTTGGAACTGTCAAACACTCAAACCGACGACGACGTTTGTGTGTCCACAACTCCGCCGCTACAAAATAAAACACAAAGTAATATAATATCAGTATTTAATAGTTTAGGTACCTAAGTACCTATATATTTATTCGACCAGTGCACCTAACCAACAAAACATTCGGGACCCGGTTTATTAAAAAATTCATCGTAACTTTGTCAAAAGCTGAAAATGTATTTTTTTATTCTGTAAAATCAAACACGGTGGTATCTTGTATAAAATATACTTAAGTACCTACCTATTATTTTATATCGTTCAAATTTCCTTATGCTTATGGTCGTATATTTATCAGTGTTTAACCAAAGCCAGGGCCGTGTTAAGGGGGGGACAAAGGGGTCATTTGCCCCCGGGCGCCACAGTTTGGTAAAATTAAGGGGCGCCTCGAGCTTGAGAAATTTTAATGAAAAAATTACGATGATTACCTACTTCCTTAGTTATATATTTAGAAATATATTTTTGTCGTACCGATAATAAAATAAAAATTAATCGAATTCAATTTTATGAAGGTACTTATGCACTAAAAATAATGATATAATAAACTGAAAATCAAAAAAATTCACTAAAATCAAAAAACATCTATACACATTTTATTGAAAGCATTAACAACTTCTCCTATAATCACTACATTTCCATCAATATAAATTGCATTAAAAATATTTACATGTTTGCCATGTTCTAACTCAAGTGGTGAACGATCATTCTCTGTTCCTAAAAAAGTTAAAACATACCTTCGATCATCATTATCAAGTGAAAAAACTTCACAATTATCGGTCTTATGTATGAAAACAGAAATTATAAAGAATATTGATTGGAGTGAATTAGTTAATAAATTTGCTAAAGGGAAAGCGAGAAAAAAATTGTTATAATTTGTTTATGTAGGTAATGCAATTTTTTTAATAAAACTAAACTAAATTCAGATAAAGTTTTCAACATTATAACTATATGATAGTTTAATAAACACTTATTACCCACTAAATCTATGTTAAGGTATTGTAATACACATTTAAAATTGACCAAATTAGCCATTTCAGTTATATTTGTTTTATGTCAACACAACATCAGGGATCACGATCATCAGAAAATTAAAAATATAGACGATAATCTTTTGGAGTCTCCAAAAAAAGTCATCCTATACTTTTTCACATACCTGAGATACTAGTGCGAGGTAGTCAATAAGTGGATGATATAAAGAAGAGAGGGGGACTGGGGCGCTTAAAAATGAGTGCCCCTGGGCGCCAAAAAGCTTAACACGGCCCTGACCAAAGCGTACATCAATAATATTCACATACCTAAATTATAAACGTCCGAGATGATTATTATTTCAATAGATCAATATATTATATATTTTAGTACGGACCTATTGACTATTACATAGTAACTACATACCAACGTAAGGACTTGTTGCTTGATGGTGTTAAATATTTTCGGAAGTGGCCCGCCTTAAATTTGGCACACTTAAAATAAATTAAAATGGTGTCCGTTAGTAAATAACATAATATAAGATTATCTTTGGACGAATAATTTATAAATATCATCCATAATATAATTAGGTATACAAATATATAGTACTATTAGTACCTGTTATATACAGATGTACTATATAGGTACCTACATATTCTATTAATTACTAATTATTACTATACAGACATATACCTGAATATTACTTTTAGTCATTACTAATTCATATTCTAATACCATGGATGATTGTGCACTGTGCAGGAGGCAACAAGATTTTTTTCCTACTAAGTTTAGTATATGATTTTGTTATGCTATTGATAACTCATTATTAAACTATTCGATGGTCATTACTATACGACTTGTTCGATATTAATATATTATAATTTATAATGACGGCTTTTATTCTTAGTTATTTATTGCTCACTTCAAGTACCTATATAATATTCACAAATATTTGGCATCATCAACGTTATAGCATCGTATATAAATAAACGGACGACAGATTCACGATACCAGAAGAAACAAGCATTCAAGCCAGAGACACCCAAATTCAAATACATGCTCCAGTCATAACAACCCATTTTTATTTTAATAAAACTACAATTTAAAATAACCACAACCGAAACACATCGTAACATTCAAATAAATCAGACACCTGAGTTAATTGTTTTGGTCAGCCCAGGTAACACCCCTAAAAAATTGTGATCTTTTTTCTTATTCACAAATAGCAATTGTTAAACAATAACTCTTATCGGGTGAAAAAGTGCAGAAGGAGTATTTATCTACGAGTGTGTCTAATGTTTTTGATTATAATATCAAAATATTTTCGAAATCGTATGGTGTATAGGAAATGCTAATATAAACATTCAGTGAAATTTTCATGTATCTACAGTAATTCGTTTTTGAATTACAACAAAATAAGGAAATCACTACATGAGAAATCGATTGAACATCCAATGTTGTAGAAATTTGAATTTCAAACGCTCATAAAAATTTAATTTGACTGTCCGGTAAGGATTTTTTTATTGATAAAGGTAGACAAACTTATGAGTAATCTTGTATTACATTTTCAAATCTTAGATTTAAAAAGAAAAATTTTTACGAATTCTTAACTCAAAATAATTTGCTAATTTTCGTGATTTTTCCATATTTTGTCAATTTTTGAACTTTAAATGCTTATAAAAAAAAAACTGTGACTAACGATTTTTAATATTTTTCATCTGCCTTTTAAACAATATATTAGGAGCCTTATTTTAAATTTTCAAGTTTTTTTACCCAACAAATAAAATTTTATTGATATTTCTAGAAAAAAAACTAAAAAAAAATGAAAAATGAAAACGTCCCTAAACAGTTCAAAATAAATCAAAATATTTTGAAAATTGTATCGTGAATAGAAAATGCAAATATAAACAACCAGTGAAAACTTCATGTATCTACGGTCATTTGTTTTAAAGTTACACCAAAAACCAAATTCAATTTTCTGAAAAATCGATTTTGCGTAAAAATTCCCGTTTTTCCTCAATTTTTCTTTTGTTTTTCTTGGCGCTTTTGAAAAGTACTGGGTATTTTAAATTTTGACCTCCCCAATGCACTAACGATATTCACTTTCCAATCGAACAAGATACTGAAGTTGAAAATCGAAGAATTATTTCGACTACTTATCGTGTACACAGACACAAAAAAAATAAAAAAACACACATCATTGTAAAATCAATACATTCATCGTTTCACTCAGAATCTAAAAAAATTAAATAATCAGTAGATAGTACAAATTATAACTTGGAAAATTATTAACGCATGATATAATTATAATGTAGAATGATCTACCTATATAAATGAATGAATATTATTATTTAAACTATTATGGTATAATAGAATAATGTAATGGTCTTTGTATTGGTTTTTTGTTTAAAAAAGTACTCCGCGGCCATTAATTGCACCAGACCAAATCGACCACATAGCCCCTTGTCCCTATGATTGCACTTAACTTTTCTTCCATCCCGTGTGACGTAAAATCCTTATTTTCAGTGGAGTTGTCATGCATTAGAATGCCTATCGTCACGAATCCAGGAATGTAGGTATAATCATCTACCTATCAATTTAGCAGGCGCAAAATTTGACACAAACAGGTCGTTGAGACCATTGGTTATTATTGGTTACAGGCTTACAGATTACAGATTATAATAGTAATAGGAGAAATAATTTGTAGAATTTAGTATTTTTGTTGTATATAAATGGTTGCCATTGGTTATACTAGGGTAGATGAGGTAAAAGCATGCATTAAAAAATCGTCGCGTTTATGGTTTATGTAATAAAGTAATTATATCTTAAAAAAATACGAGAGTTGAATACTTGAATGTATATTTTGTAGCTTATAATATTATAAATACTCAAAACTGATTTTGTGAACATTTAAATTTGTTATTGGAAACATCATGAAGGTTTAGATATTAGTTTTAGTTAGGCTTGATTTATACCAACTACCTAGTGCTATATCCAATTCACCATAAGCATATGATCAATCTCAGACTTCAGTAGAATTAGATTACAAAGTTAAGTACACTGACCCAATTTTTCCGGTGAATTGTGGTTCACTAAAACAAAGTTTTACCTATATAGGCTATATTTGGTAATTTTTATTTTTTTACAGTCAGGTTATACAGTTATTTTATTGGATGTTATTTGAAGTTAATAGACTCAAACACTTCTGGACAGTTTTCAATATAAGTTATATCAATAGATCCCTTGAGACTTGGAGGGTGTTTATAGCTTATTTTGTAAACTCCAGTTTACGAAAAAAGAAAACTGTTTTTGTTTATGGTTGACATTGGTTACATTTTATGTTACAATTATAATTATTCGAAGAAGTATGGCATAAACATTTTTTTACAAATATATTTATAAAATTACAAATCTTTGGCACAGGCGATGCCGGGCGGGACAGCTAGTATGTATAGTATATAATATTATTGTTGTATTTATGCAATTTTTGATTTATAAAGATCAATTTGATAGAAAACTGTTTTTGAAACGTATTTACTTTAAGTTTATTATTTTAAATTAAAATATAACAATATTATTATCTAAGATTTTCAGTAGGTATATTATATGTGGAGTATACCAATATTTAGGTCTGGAGTCTAGACGTATGAATAAATTAATCCTGCAGATTACACACTCACTATTCACTAGGTACCTATATAGGCATTAGGCAGTATAAAGCTGTGGGGCTTACATCACATCGCGTGTCGTGTCATGTTCCATATAAGTTTTATGCAGGCAACAAAATTGTAGTAGGTAACTCTATATTATACACAACTCTACATGACACGATGAAGTGAGCCACGGACAATGGAAATAATGCACTCGAGTCGTGACAATGGACTTAAGTTGTGATATAATTTTATGCAAATACATAATATTATATACATACTCGGTGCTAGTGTCTTCGAATAACGTCCGCTTTCTTGAACTAATCACAGCGTTTACGGTGGCTACACGGTCCATAGACAGGCGCTGACATACGGCAAAAATTTTTGTCAGGGTGTGGCCGCCGGCCGCCAGGGCTCCAGCGATTTTGCATATCAACACTATGCCCGCGGAACCACGTCTCCGGCCACCATCCGTCGACCGACTTCTGATAAGGTCATCACCGACAGCCAATAGCTAAAAAAAAGGATCGATTTCATTCGTGTTTCAAACTAATTATTTATTATTCGTAAAAAAATGTTTAACATAAAGATTTTATTATTTCATTGTTTTTATTTTTATTTATTTTCCAAGAAGATAATGGGCCCCCACTGAACATGTTTGTGTTATGTGATAACTAAATGTAGAAAAATAATCAAAATCATTTCAAAAATATCGATGTGTTTTTGAAAATCTAACTGTATTGCTTAGAATCTAGATGTAACTCTTGCAGTGACGTATATATTTCTTATGGCCGATAGGGTGTATTAAAGAAATGTGTGTGTATACCTATACGTTTTACAAAAACATTTTCAGTTTTATATATTGTGAAAAATAGGTGTTGAGGGGGCACGTATAGTATGTAAATATATCTATATATAGTAGGTACATAGTTGAAGCCCTGATTAAACACCAGGCCACTCAAATAATAATTTTTAAAATACTCAATTATATTTAGATTTTAGATGTCATATGCTTAATATAATTTATATGATTCTAATAAAATCATAAACATTGTATTAAAAATTCTATTTGATTTAACTGTAATAATCTGGCAATGGGGGGGGGGAGCGAAGACGTGTCCCCCTTAATCCGGATTTGAGTGGTAATATCGTTTACTTTGACATTAATGCCCTGAGTACGGGCCTTTTGGGCTGCGATGCCATAGTTGAGGATGGCCGCCGTCTCGCTGGCCACCAGCACCAGTACCCCACAACGGTCGTCCAGCTCCCGGATGGCCGTCAGCACTTGGCCGGCGTTTGGATGTCGACCAGGGTCCAGGCCGGCAACGGCGGCGTCCAACATTCCAGCGCCCACGTAACGTGCAAACGTGGGGTAATGGCCACCACGGTGACCGGCCATCACTTTCACGCGGCCTTTTCCGGAAGGCATAGACTGATGTCCACGCCAGTAAACCGTGTTTCCGTCCAACAGGACCAGCTGTCGACCGTGACCGTCCGTCCGGACCAGTCCTTCGAGACAAGCTGTAGTTGCTAAACTTTGGTCGTTGCCCTCGACCAAGTCTTGATCAACGGAACCATGATATTCGGTCGAGTCTTGATCTACAGCAGAATCGTGGTTTTTGATTGAGTCTTGACCTACAGCAGAATCGTGGTTTTTGATTGAGTCTTGACCTATAGCAGAATCGTGGTTTTTCATTGAGCGTTGACCAGAAGTGCGATACTTGGTCGAACCGCGACCAGCGGGACCAGGGTCCTCAACCGATTCATAACCAGAACCGTAGGCCGAGTTTTGATATTCGGAACCAGGATCCTGGATTAAACTATGTTCATCAGTTGATAATTCACTGTTTAATACAGACATGTCTTCGACGGTCCTGTGTGTCATCGGTTTATCAAATACGCGTGACGTACAAGATAATATTATAATGTATAATTTAAACGACCATAAAACACAAAAATCATATATTTTTTGTCTATTATAATTATTACGAAATTTGCATAAACAAAAAATGTAAATAAAAGTTGTCAACGGTGATTCGTTCTATAGTTACAGCGTTTAACAAATTTGTTTGTCAAACAAAAATGTATTATTATTATTTCAATTATTTCAATAAAAATTCTCAAATTTGCAATAAAAAAAATTAAGGGCCTATCATCGAGATAAAATATAGCCCATAGATCCTTTTCATAATGTAGGTTTCTGATAGTAATTTTTTTTAAAATCGCGATTAAAACATGCATTTATATTTTTTTTACAAATATATTTATCCAAAATACAAATCTATGACACGGGTAACTACAGGCGGAACAGCTAGTAATAGTTTAAATCACTATTATGATATTAGTTGATTCATATCACGGATTCATTTTTGATTTTTTCAACGTTGAGGCAAATACCCCTTACAGGTACGCAACTTCCTGGATAACTGAATGCCGGACGATCCAAATTTTTATTCGATCAAAAAACGTTGAATAAAAACAAAAAAATTCAGGAATTGGGTAAAGTAGATCGTTGTGGCTGATATATCTGTAACATAAACAAATATTTAAAACATTTAAGTTAAAATAGCTCATGAAAAGGTAATTATTTTACGGTGTGTTTATAATTTTATATTAGCTTGGTTCATTTAGGCTATTTTATTCAACTTCCAATCAACTTCCAAGGACCGATAATTGTATTAAATGTAGCTGTAATTGGTTTTGTCATTAAAATATGTTTAATTAACAAATAAGTGGCTAAAAGTAATCATTATACTAAACAAATCAATTTCAAAAAAATCGTTTTGCGTTGGACAGATTATGAATGTAATAGGTCAGAAAACCAAGATAAAATTAATTCTATGTGGCCAAGAGCATGCGTTGGTATATTCAGTATTTAATCAAAGTGTGTACACTAACATCGTTTTTTAAAAACTATATTCTGCAGCGACATCAATCTTTCTGACACCGACACACAGTAACTAAATATTATGATGAAAAATACAAATAACGAAGAAAAATCAGAAATACCAACGGACTCTTCTTCAGATCGACCAAATCTGAAGGGAGATTGGTTAAACTTCTACTTTTTGATATTACTTTACACTTTCCAAGGTACTACTACAGGTTTGTCCTACGCTTTTCCCATAATACTTCAAAATACGAAACTTGTAACATATAACGATCAAGTAAGTACATGTTTCAATTCGTATGTTTATCGATTTTTTTTAAAATCATATATATATATATATAATGGTTAAAATAAAAATTGAGATGAAGTCTAAAGCTAAACCTTAAACTATATAAACATCGTGTTAAAAAAAATAAGTACTTGTTTGCGCGAAATAGTTATATATATATATTTTTTAATTTCACGATTATCTTATATATCCTAATTGGTTTTACGCATTTCGTAAATATTTTTAGCATATAGGTCTGTACTTAATATATTTTTAGTCTAGAAAAACAGGACATTATTTTTAAACACAAACATCAAATATTATAATATTATTACATGTTAAATTTTATTTTTGATAACAAATGTTGATACGAAATTCAAACGAATAAGCTACCTATTAAATTTATAATTTTCTAAATACTATTAAATATTTTATAAATATTTGTTAGATTACAATGACGATTGGGTAACTAAAATTTAATTATAACGGCGATTATAATTGGTTGAAATTACTTTCATTATTTTATAGAAATCATGTTGTAATGAAATAAATGTAAATATTTTGTTATATAAATATCCAATGACAGTTGCAATAATTTAGCTTTAGTAGTAAGGTTTATTATTTTTTTTCATAATAAATAGGTATTCAATTGACATGCATGTTTATTATTTTATGTTCTAGGCTATATTAAGTTTTGTACTATGGCCTTTTAGCTTTAAACTCTTATGGGCACCAGTCGTAGACGCATTACATTTTCAGTGGATAGGACGACGAAAATCATGGTACATTCCTATTCAATTTTTAATCGGTATGTAATTGATATATTTTAAGGATTTTATAAATTGTAGGTATTAATAATTGCAATGAGTTTTATTTCAAAATACAAATATACCTGTTAATAAAAGAGAATATTCTCTCTTAAGTTCAACTGTATACATCAATAACATGACAACGTATGAATATATGATAACTGATAAGTAGGTAAGTACTTACCTAATGCCAGTGGCGTATACATATAGGGGGTGCCGGGTTGGTATAGTGGGCGGGCTGTAGCCCCCCCCCCCCCGAAATTACAGTCTTTTTAAATATAACAACAATATATTTTATTAGGTACTTTATAAGTTGTAATATTTCATAGCCTGTTGAAAAATAACAAATAATATTTAATAGATATTAGAATTTAATAATATTTATAGAAACTGTTAAATATATAGCAGACAGTAGCCTCTAAGTAATAGATCACTTGCTATTTTCTATCTACTATAGCCCACCCCAACAATTATTTCTGTATAAGATACTGCTTAATGCAAGTATCTCAATTTTTTTTAAACATTTATCACTTATCACAAATCTACGTACCGGATGTTACGCTTGTGTAAGACAGAGACAATGCATGCGGGTTTTATACAACGGCCTCTTAAGAGGACGCTACCCATGCGTTTTTTGTCTCCGTCTTACAAACGTACATTGAAAATTGTGAGTTCACTAGATTCAATAGTGTGCTGTTAGTTTTGATATTAGAGTGAATTGACCTATTATCAAGCTTTTATGTAAGAAATTTATCTGTGCTTAAGGTTTATTGGTGGTTTTTCAATATTTTAATTTTCAAGCGAGATATGAGCATTTTTAATTTGTAATATTTCACACACCCATATATATATATATCGCTTGAAAATTAAAATATCTAATAAAAACTAACTCTTAAACACAGATAATGTTCTTACCTAAAATGTTGATAATAGGTAAATTCACTTTAATATCAAAACAAATAGCACACTATTGAAACTAGTAAACGAAAATTTGCAATTTTGTTTTGTCAAAATCGTTAATGAAATCGATAACTGTCAACCGGACTTAATATGAAATAGCGTAACTATTTGAAGTAATGCTATAGGTATAATTGTATAAATGTATATATTAAGTAATATTTTACGTATGCATTTTTTATTATTAAGTAATACCTATTTTACTACACTCAAATACTGTCATTAATTGTTAAAATAACATGTTTATATTATAAATGCTGAGCAGGGGTACTTTTTCTTTTTTTCGGCGATAACATCGATAACTGGTTACCTGAGTCGGGAAAACCAAATATCAACATGATCGTGTGCGTATTGTTCCTCATTAATGTTTTGGCTGCTACTCAGGACATTGTAGTTGACAGTTGGTCATTGAGTTTGTTGAAAAAGTGAGTAAGGCTAAGTCATTTTAATATTAAGATTTTACACAATACTTTTGTGCAATAGTATATTATATCATAATACCATGTTTTCAAAATTTCTTACAGAAATAATGTGAGTTATTCATCCACGTGTAATAGTACAGGTATAGCATTCGGATTGTATATTGGTTCCGTTTGTCCGATTCTTCTTTCTTCTGAGTACTTCTGTAACAAATACTTACGATTCACCCCACACGAAGGAGGAATATTAAGCATCAAAAGTGGGTAAAAAATATTGTTTAAGATTTTAATGGTCTTAGTAAAATTATTTCATCGATATACTTAAATAGACATTGTAGGTATATAACAATATTTGACAATTATGTTGAAAATAATGTAACTTTATTAAATTATTTCAATCGATCATAATATTTCAATCATGAGACATATTTCACAATAGATTTATTTTTGGAAGGGAAAAACAATTCACAGCGGATACTCTACACATTTATGATATAGATTGTAGGCTGTCAGTATTACTTTCTAAGGAAAAAAATTGTATATTTTAATATTAGTACCTAATTTATTTTAGATTCTGAGTGAAACGATGAATGTATTGATTTTACAATGATGTGTGTTTTTATTTTTAATTTTTTAATTTTTTAATTTTTGTGTCTGTATACACGATAAGTAGTCGAAATAATGCTTCGATTTTCGACTTCAGTATCTTGTTCGATTGGAAAGTGAATATCGTTGGTGCATTGAGGAGGTCAAAATTTAAAATTCCCAGTACTTTTCAAAAGCGCCAAGAAAAACAAAAGAAAAATTAAGGAAAAACGGGAATTTTTACGCAAAATCGATTTTTCAGAAAATTGAATTTGGTTTTTGGTGTAACTTTAAAACAAATGACCGTAGATACATGAAATTTTCACTGGTCGTTTATATTTGCATATTCTATACACGATAACATTTTCAAAATATTTTGATTTATTTTGAACTGTTTAGGGACATTTTCATTTTTCATTTTTTTTTATTTTTTTTTTCTAGAAATATCAATAAAATTTTATTGGTTGGTTAAAAAAACTTGAAAATTTAATAGAAGGCTCCTAGTATATTGTTTCAAAGGCAGATGAAAAATATTAAAAATCGTTAGTCACAGTTTTTTTTTATAAGCATTTAAAGTTCAAAAATTGACAAAATATGGAAAAATCACGAAAATTAGCAAATTATTTTGAGTTAAGAATTCGTAAAAATTTTTCTTTTTAAATCTAAATTTGAAAATGTAATACAAGATTACTCATAAGTTTGTCTACCTTTATCAATAAAAAAATCTCCATCGGGCGGTCAAATTAAATTTTTATAAGTTTTTGAAATTCAAATTTTTACAACATTGGATGTTCACTCGATTTCTCATGTAGCGATTTCCTTATTTTGTTGTTATTCATAAACGAATAACTATAGATACATGAAAATTTCACTGAATGTTTATATTAGCATTTCCTATACACCATACAATTTTGAAAATATTTCGACTCTTTTTGAGCTGTTTACGGATATTTTCATTTTTCAATTTTTTTAGTTTTTTTTTCTATAAAAATCAATAAAGTTTTATCTGTTGGGCCAAAAAGTGTAAACATTTAATACAAGGCTCCTGATATATTGTTACAATATCAGTTGAAAAATATTAAAAATACATAGGCACAATTTTTTTTTATAAGCATTTAAACATCGAATTTTGACAGAATTTTTCAAAATCTCGAAAATTATTAATCATCGTAATTAATAAATTATAAAATGTTCACTTTTTATAGCTAAGGATTGAAAATTTAAAACAAGATTCCACGTAAGTAGTTAATTCTCTTACCGAAAAATCTAAAAAATATACAATCACAGTTTATTTTTATAGTCATTTTATGTTCAAATTTGGACGAAATTACATATTAAAAAACCTAGTTATTTTGTTGTTATTATATAATATTATTCGTGGGTACCTACTTGAAACTTCTAAAGTGTACTATTATATATCTATGATAGTATCAGGGTTTGTTATTGATGTTGATGTATAACGTGTTATAAGTACCTAATGGATATTGTAATAATGTTGTGATGATGTTTGGAATTTATTATAGGTCAATTTTTTTTTAATACCATAGATAATAGATAATTATTATGTAGGTATATAATTTGTCTTTAACCTAGACTGACATACCGTCTTCGCTCAGAATCGTTTTTCTTATACAATGATATTGTATCATTGAATTCAAATTGAATAGCATCCATTATACAGTGACCCACTTGTAAACTACTGTACAGCAGAGCGACATCCACTTACCCACCTTTTTCTATTGAGTAGTTGATATATTTTTCGCAAAAACATCGCTTATAATATAATATTATGAATTATTTTATTATTGCAGCATATTTCAATATAATATTGCGTATGCATGCTGTAGGACGGTGTGATAGGATAGTGATATAAATGGCTTAAAATTTAGAATTTCCATAAATAGCACATAAAGTAGCAAAATATTTTAAAAATTACATTTTGTTTCGAATTCACTAATATAATATATGAGGGTTGTAACAGGAATACCTGAAAAAAAAATAATAATGATGCTTTATTGCTTTGCTTAAACAGTTAAAAGTATGACAAAAATTGTTAAAATTATATGATTAGTAAATAATTTAAGATATAATACTCATTTCAGCTAATTCTTAAAAATTCAGTCTCAATTTTCATTTCTGAAATACATAAAAAAAAAAAATAAAAATAAAAAAACTGGTGTTGTATTAACATTTCTATTTTTCAGTAATTTTTTGTTTTGTCCAATAATTAAATAATTTACATAATATAAGTACATTGAATTTTTACTTTTGACCACCCAAAGTAAAAAAAGACCTACTTTACTACCAGAAATTACCCACAAAGTTTAAGGTTGCTTTTTACAGCTCCAAACGATGACAGGCACTAGGCAGAAAAAAACTTAAAATCATACATCATTGTTAAACCAATTCAATATCTGTAAATGGTTTGATTTAATTAGTTTTTCAGGGCATTATTCATTCATCAATCTTAAATACTAAAATAGTAAAATACCACTAATCTAAGTACATTCTAAGTTAAAATATTCGTTTTAGTTTAATTATATTTTTGTTTCACAGGTTTTTTATTATTTTGGGGCATTGTGTTTTTGTTTGTCACATTTCTAGTCATATTTAAAAAAGAAAGAAACAAAGAATTAGAAGAAGACGACGACCCTCTTAAGATCAATATTATTCAGAGTTATGATCTGTTATGGGATATTTTTAAAATCAAACATATGAAATTATTGTTAATGGCTATTCTGACGTCTATGGTAATTAATATTTTTATACAATTTCGTAGGGGAATAATAGAAGTTGTACGATATTTTCAAACTCTATTTATATTTATCATACTACACATGTATTATTACAATTGACGTTTATCAATATTTATTAGTTATTTTAAAAATTTATTTATTTACATAGATATTTAAATATTTTATTTTGTATTGTTTCTTAATGTTAAAAACAACAGAAGAATTATTCAAAAATAGATGGATATATCCATTTTATATCATTTTATTATCTATTTTATAAAGTAATTTTAATTCGATAATAATGAATTATGAACGATATTAATTTCATTACTATACATTTTATAACTAGTTTTACTATGTAGTTATTTTAACCACTTTATAACTTGACATCGTTGTTCTATAAAATGTTTTAGATTGGATTGTCTACATCAGAATCCGTCACAAATTTGAAGCTTATGGACGCTGGTGTATCAAAAGATGATATTATGATAATAACTACAGCCATGTTTATTCTAAAAATGTGTCTACCAATTTTCGTAACCAAATACACTACGGGCCCGAAACCGATAAGTTTGTATCTAAAACTGATGCCAGCCAGGTATGGAAAACGCACATGTTTAAATTTCAAAAGCTCTACTAAAATAATATAGTTTTTAATTTTTACTACTGATACATTTTTGGATCGTTATTCGTTATTATTATATTACTTTGTATTTGTCCACTCATTAAATTATTTTTTTCTGTTCACACATTTTGATGTCATCTATATGTACATTATTAACAATTTTAAAGTAACCTATAGAAATACAGTATACCTACGATTTTCATGAGAAATTAATATGTTTCAGATTGCTGTGGAGTATTATTTTTGCTCTCCTAATTTATTACACTCCGCGTATAATTCAAGATAATGGAGTTGTGCCAACGTATTATTATTTACTTATTGGATTTGTATTCGCAGTAAACAGGGTACGTTGACAATTTTCTTTTAAATTGATACACCCTGGGAAAATACTATAGGTATCAATACGGGACAATCAATGTAAAATGCCAAAAAAAATCCCCCAAAAATCGTGGTGGTTGCCTATATGAGAAATACTTCGGGGCTATCAAACCAATGATAAGGACCTATGATATGCTTGAAGGTAAGCAACCCATACGATTTCGGGGGGACAAAATGTGTCGAGGTTTTTTAATCGCACTGTCCCGTATTCTTATCTATTGTATTTGCCCTGGGTTTTGAAGTGTTCTTTTCATTTAATCAAAGAGTATATTATTTTATATTTATAATTTTATCGAGAATAGATATATTTCAAAGAGAATAACATTTTTACGAGGCTTGTACAAAATACAATAAACATTGCATGCGGTCGTCTAGCAAACTAAATGATGGTCTTGTGAGCATCAACATTTTGGGTGCTAAGCCAAACATATGATTACTATATCACTTGCACTTGTTGTACAACAATTGTATGGATAAATAAAAAAAAAACAAAAAAATGTATAGAATTTCTTCGATGAGGTGGTTCGCTGTTCTTCTAAGCAACTATGTTTCTATGCGCATGTTTGTTTCTCACACAAATATTGAAATAGGTAAACATGAAAAACTTCAGCATATATTTTTCATATGAACAGTTGCAATTTAAACTTACCAAATTCTAGACAGCTACCTATTAAAATGTTTGTTTCACTGCCTAAACGAATTTTCATTTAATTAATTCCAATAAGTTAGCCGTTAGGTAATAAAACTGTCTAAATAATCACTAATTAATACTCATATATTAATGTTTGTAAAGAATTGAAAATGTTGATAAAAACATTTAATTATTGTATTAATTTATCTTCAAAAATATTATGTAATACGTACATAATTAAATGGTTTCCCTGCAGCTTCAAATAGTGGAAAAGCAAGGCCTCGCCGACTTATGTCCTGACCGAAAGTGACGTTAGAAGCCGCAGGGAAAAGTAAATTTAGTCATTGAATTTTATTTTGTTTTAGATAATGGCCCAAATCATGGTAACTTGCATGGTAGCATTTTTCTCACGGATTAGTGACATTCGGTTCGGAGGCATGTACATGACATTGCTGAACACCGTTCGCAGCATTGGATGGGTAATTCCAAATACGTCGTTTCTTAAAATGGTCGACATGTTAACGTTTAGTTCGTGTTCAAATGACGTCCAAAATAGTTGTTCAACGCCATATTTAGAAAATGTAAGGCTTAATAATTATTAAGTCATATACCGACTGCAATTTAATTTAAACCCTCAATAAGTAGTAATATAGTGTTTACAAAATATTGTACATGTATAATTACAGCAAACTATTGTTTTTAATTTGTGTAGATATGCAATATAAACGATGGCCATTGTGAAGCGGTTGTGGATGGCTATTATGTTGAGGTAATAATTTGTCTGGTTATTGGATTCGTTTGGTTTGCCGTTTACAAGAATCATCTTAAATATTTCGAATCAAAGGATCGTTCTCATTGGTTAATAGATTTGAATCGACCAGGGACCGTTTAAATTTCTTTCACTACATAATATATCTAACGAATATACGTATACACGTATTATATTATATGATATATAAAGGGCGATTTCTTTTTATTGGTACACTAAACTAATAGGTAGCGTTCATGAACACTTATTATTTCTAAGTCGAAAATTTAATAAAAAGTTAAAATGGCTTTTAAAATAATGAGCGTAATTGATAAAAAAAAATCACTCGATACATATTATATATTTATAGGTATTTATATTAATATATTTGTAAATGCTACTTTTGTTATATGACTTAATTATAACTGTAATATTTTAAAGCAAATACATTTTTTTTTTTTTTATTATTGATGTGTTATCATTTGTAAATTGTGCTGCTTTTTCTATCGTGTGGTCGACAACTTATCAACTACCAATGAGCTTCAATCCTGGCTTCTACCTTTGCTCGGGTTTTTACGCAGTGGATTTTTTATGTAAGACTTCTATCCAAATAAACTAGATATTTAGGGTTGTCATTGTGTTGTAGTATTTCGTTATTCCAGTTGATATGCAGATTTATTTTTGCTTCTCGGTTCTTAAGATCAAAAACGCATACTTGGGTTTTCGACGGGTTTGGTTTTAGTCGGTCGTTTTGGTAGTATATTGTTAGCTCTTTTAGGGTATCTTCCAGCCTTTCTTCGATTTCTTCAAACTTCTTTCTTTGTGCCGTTAATGCCAGGTCGTCTGCGTATATAAAATATCGTGTTACTGTTCCTATCGGTTGGTCATTTGTGTAGATGTTGAACAGCATTGGTGCCATTACGCTCCCTTGAGGGAGGCCGTTTTTTTGTTTTCGCCATTCGCTTTTCTTGCTGTTTAGTGTCACATAGAAAAGCGAATGGTGAAAACATTTAATTGTGCTGCTATTAAATAAGTATTAGTGCCAAGTAGTGCCTGAACGCCTGTTCGATACTAAGGCCAAAACTGATAACCTGAACAACTGTTTTCCTCACTTGGTACATCATATCATTGGTATATTCTGTGATCCAATGTTTAAATATTAAATTCAATATACTACCTAAATATAGATACTTTAAATTGCCTATTAAATTTATTGTTAAACATATATTCACAAAACTGAACTAATATTCACATTCTATTTGTAAAGTAAAACTTATTTGGGTTTCGGGTTAACGGAATGTTTGATTCGGGTTTCGGTTAATTCTGGCGCAAAGCCAGGTCTTATCTTATCTTTTCCGTTGCCCGGAATAAAAACTCTGAATCGCAGCAGTACCTACATTATCAATTAGGCAATCTACCTGCGGTAGATCGTGGACCCCGTGCTGTTTGTACGTAAGTGTATGATTTAACTCTAAAGTATCAAAGTTATACCAAGTTTGTCGTTTTTACTTAATTCCACCTACGGTTGATCAAACTAATCAATTTATTTAATCCTATTAAATATAATTTATATTTAAAAAGTAAAGCAAAAATATTTTTTTTTTTTTATCATTATTATTATTATTATAATCACTTAAAAACCCATGGAAACCATTTATAAACAAAAATTTCCATCTGAAATCTCAAAATTCCCATTTGAAATCTGTTTGAGCACCTTCCGGGGTTGGTCCTCTCCCTTTTTAAATTAGCCCATGTTTTAAGTTGAACCAAAATACACACAGTGTAAAAATGTCATCAAGATCGGTCCAGTTGTTTTTACATGAAAGGGTAACAAAGTCACAAACTTTCGAGTTTATAATATTAATAGGATATGTATTATTATTTTTTATTCGTTTCTATGGTGATACACAAAGCGTTGGAAATTAAAATCCCATTTTTAGCGGTTTTTCGTAATTTGTCGGTGGTTTTTCTTGTGGCATTAATTAACTATTGAGAAAACCGAAAAATGACCTTTCTAAAGTACCATCGTATCCAATTTACTTAAGGATAAGGTACTACATGTTGAAATCGAAGCATTCCTTCTGGTAGAAATTTTGCACTTTTACCATTGTAAAACCACTAACTTCCTCGCTCCGCTCAGAATCTAAAAATTTAAAAAGATATATTATAGATATAGTTATTTAATACTTAAATTATTTTTTCTGAAGGATATAATATATTATAAATTATTATATTATCTACTATAATAATGAACCAAAAAAAAAACACATTATTCACTCGGATTTTACACCGTTTTAAACAATGAACAAAACGTTTAAAACATTCGTTACAAATATAACAAATTTAAAGTTCAGAGTATAAATGAGTGTTGGAAAATAATATTCAAAAATATTTGCACCAAGTCCAAATGTATCATAGCATGTCATACACTTTGGGTTGAAAATCAATACGTTTGAGGATTAAGATTTTTTGTTAAAATTGCTTATTTCGCAATGGTAAACATTTCAGAACTTGGTAGAGCTTTTAACGAGCTGCATGTCAATTTGTTTGCACAAACATGGATCATACTTATTCAAACAATTAAAAACATTGATATAGCTGAAATTTTTTTAAAATCTGTTGAACAAGAAAAATTAAAATTCCAAAGTAGTATATATAGGTATTAGGTTGTTAAAAAACCGTATATTATAATTTATAACATAATCGACTAACTGGCCTAAATAATATTTATGTAAGTAGGTACTAGGTCATATAGTAATACAATTATTTTAGATGATTTTAAAGTCAATAATCGCAACTAAGTTCACTACCAAGTCACAAAAAATAATTTCATCATTGTAATAATTTGTAGTAGGTACCTATTTATTCTACCTACTTCTGATCTTATAGTTATTAATTAATAATTATTAAATCTATTACTTACTAGAATAATATGACTTTTCTGACTTGGATTTTTAAAATTTTGAAATCAAAACTTTCTCATAGATGTTTGATTAAACCCAAAACATTATTTATTTAAAACGTAAACAGTAATTAAATGATACATTTTTTTTATTATTGACGTTGTTGTAGGTATAATTTTTATAATTTTTCAGTACATTTTAGTATTACAAACCTTGTTTTAACCATGTCAGATATTATCGAATAACGTTTTATAAAAACATAATTCTTATAAATTCGTTATCTTCGTATTATTTTTAGATATTAAGGGGGTTGGAGCGTGATTAATTTTCGGTCGAAAACATAGCTCACGACTTCAATCACTTCTCCCAATATAATGTTCTGATATTAATTTTGAAAGCAGATTTGAATTCGTCACTAAAATATCAATGCTTTGACAATTTTATTTTTCTGATTTTTTTTTTTTTTTACTTAGTAATTGACTAACAAAAAGAATAAAAATAGATCATATTCATAATTCAAATTTAAATACATTAATATAGAATATGAAAAATGTACGACAGTCAAAGCATAGTAAATTTAGAGGAGAATTCAAATCGGTTTTCAACATTTAAATCGGAACATCCAACTGAGCGTAGTGATTGAAGTCACTGGCAGTATTTTTTGAAAAAAAAAAAAATGTTTCTAATTGTATAAAGTAATATTATGTGGTGACATGTGCATGCACGTAGGTAAAATTACAGACGTATTATGATGCCCATATACAACGTGATCGGTACTACGGATTACACACACTAATGTTCATTTACTTTCAACACATTCACAAGACCCATATGAACTAAAATATAAAATGCCTAGTTTTTACTCCTTTGAATGGATTACGCTCCAGCCCCCTTAATATAATATGTAGAAAAACTTAGCACGTGGAAATTATAATTTTAAAAGAAATTAGAAAAATAAATTCCAACCTCCAAAGTAGGTTCTAACTCCAAAATTCCGCCTATATGTGGATTGTGGATATAAACAATATACTATTGATAAATTACCTCTTATTAATTGTATTGTTTAAATCCTTTTATTTTATAATATATTATAATAAAGTTTTACCAGAAGTACCTACTACTTATGCTAGAACGATTTTTTATTGAATAATTTGAAAACAATTGTGTAATCACGTCGTTTTGATCCAGACATCCACTATATCTCTTCTTTACTTAATGGCTCTATTTGATGCCCCCGATCTACTTTCTTCTATTTCTTTTCGTATTCCTATCTATCCAACTAAAAACCACTCTTTATATTACGTCCTCTCTCACCGTACAAACTACAACCACAACCATCATATACATAGAATGCTCCACCTCCTTAACACCACCCAAAACTACATTTCATGTTTATACTAAATAATATTTCTTCTTATCTTAGTTTTATTGCCACACTCAGAATTAGGATGCTGTTAACTTTTTAGTTTTTAATTTCTTTTTTATGATTATTATTAAGTTATTAGTATATTAAATGTAATATTATTATCTATATTATCAATAATTTTTATACATTCATATTATCATTTTTAATTACCTGTATAATATATATATTATCAACTATGAAAATTCCGACTGGCGTTAAATAATTAATAAATAAATAAATAAATCACAAATAATTATTATTTCATATTGTAACCATTTTTTTAATATGTACCTATGCTTATTTTATTTTAAATAAAGAAGATATCATTATAGGTACAATTTACATGAATCGTAAATAGGTACTTGTCAAAAAGTTAACGTGGGTCACACCTGGTAAACACTCTCGCACAGTCCGACATCTGGTAATCAACTATTTATTTAATTTCTAAATTTTGTAAATTTTCAAGTGCCTTGTTTTTCATGATATTCTGCTCTTAACAAGCATTTGTGTGAATGAAATAGTTGATTAATATACCTACTTTTCGTAAGTCCTATTATGATTTTTTCGCAGTAAATCCAAAAACTTTTCATCCTAGAATAGTCGAATAAGTAGGTAACATTTATATTATTTAGTAAGTGATACCATTGATTAAAATATTAAATATACTAAAATATACTAAAATATATAAATTTTAATCTAAGGTGATACTTACTAGAACAGAAGTAAATTGCTTCTTTTCTGTGGCAGTATCTATAAGTATAGAGTAGAAGTATAATCGTCAATCGATAATCATATATACTTTGCTAACATTTTTTAAACATTTAATACCCTACTATTGTATACGAGTGGTCAATGGCGGTTATTGTATTGTCCATGGGCCATGGGTTGGTAGGCAGGCGGGTAATTGGAAGTTGGGGGATTAATAATAAATTACTTGTTATACAGTGAAATATAATTTTTAAATTATGAATAAAGTAATTTATTTACAACCTATTTACGTGGAACCTTGTTTTAAATTCTCGATCCTTAGCTAGTAGTAAAGTTAGGTAGTTACTTAAAAGTAATATAAAATTTGAAATTGTCCGCAAACAGCTCAAAACAAGTCAAAATATTTACAAAATTGTATGATGTGTAGAAAATGAGAATATAAGTATTCAGTGAAATTTTCATGTATTTACAGTCATTTGTTTTAGAGTTACACCAAACACTAAAATCGATTTTGTCGAATACCTAATGATTTTTCGTTAAATCCCCGGTTTTTCTTAATTTTTTGTTTTTCTCGGCACTCAAGTCACGACCGCGCTATCAATTGGCCAAACTACACTATAATCGAAAATCTCACAACGTATAAACTCACTTGAAAATAATAATAATATGGTATCCACAGCCTAAGAAATTATATTATTGGACACTTGTTCTCACCAGTGGCGGCTCGTGCCTAGGTGTGCAGGTGTGCGCACACCACATAGATTAATTAGATATAATAGTGAAAATGTATAATAAAAATGTATACCTAATAATAAATAAATTTTAATACAATATATATTCTGTTCAACTGTATTTATTATGTAAAAAAATTAAATTTTAAAAACAAACAAACGACTATATTTA